ATAACTCGACTCGTTGAGTTGCCAATTGAAATTATAGAAGAAATATATTTCGTAAATAATAAAAGTAAAAAGGGGAGAGTATAAGTCGCACCTGCCTAACTCTGTCGCACCACAGGTCTCTCGACGCTTTGGAGCTACACTACTGCAGGACAGACAACCAAACCGGCCTCTCCTGACTCCAGAAAGGAGACGCTCCTCCTGGTCCGGCCTACTCTCGGGTACGAGCCCGTATTCGACTATGGTTGACGTGTCCGGATCAGACAGTGAAATAAAACTGATGTTACACAAATGGAATATTAAATTATCCAGTTGGTGGAAGGACAGGTATACACTTGGGCGAGATAGCTGTTAGTCAGGCCTCAGCGTGCCGAGTAAAGGTGTTTATTTGCACCAAACGCATTTTTGTTTGGTATTGAAAGAAAAGCCCGGAGGCCAACAAAAACAAACCTAAATTTATGTTGTTCACAACCGAAAGTCTTTATACTTTGAAAATAAAGGTTTTATTGTGCTATTCTATGTAGAAAACTTGGGAGTTTCCTTCTACTGACCGAGAGTGGACTTTAATACTTACATTTCGCATATCATTAGTATCTATTGTGGCCCGTCCCAGGCAATGTGAACAAAAGTAGACTAAGTGTAGTTTGTTTCAGAACCGAAAGTCTTATATTGGAAACAAAGCCGTTTAAGGTCTACTATTTATGTTGAAAACTTTCGAACATTGCCCGTATTAATGCGGTCCCGGGCGGACCTGTAAAAACCACGGGATCCGCTCTAATCCTAAACCACGGGGGGGGGTAGGAGGGTTCGTTATTGTTAGCTTATATTATTTCTATTTTATTTCTTTAGAGATTGTTTCTGGTTATGTGATGTTTTTGACATTGTATAACTGTACAACCAATATATGTATTCTCTCCAAAGTTTACATAACATTTACTTGCTAAAAATTTAACCGCCGCGCCGCGCCGAGGCTGCAGTTGTAGGAGAATCCCCCCAGGCCCCATACCACAAAAAAAGAGGGTCGCGGTCGCGGGGAGGGTCTAGACCGCGGGATTCGCTTGGCCGGGATCAAACGGTCACCGGATGTCCGCTGCGGACTAAATTTTATTGGTTTGGGTGTGTGCATACTTGTGTGTGTTGGAGCGCTCGAAGGGCGGTCTTGGCATTAGGTTGTTTTAGATAGAAGGGAGGGCATCATAAAACTAGTAAACGAGGCGATTATTAGGTTAGTCTAGCTACCTAAGGTCTCTTCTTTTTTTAAACCTTCCGGAAAAAGAGTTTTACTACTGAACACTTCAGTAATATATTACCCTGTATAAAACGAATTATAAACCTCATGTTGTTGTTAGGACCTATAGTAATCTTTCGATCCTTAGAGGAGAAGGTTTACATATGTTTGGTGTTTTACACAGAAGACCAGTTACGCTGACTAAAGCTACCGTCGTCCAGTGTATACACGAAAAATAAATTGTTGTAAAAACTAATTCGAAAACAAGTGGTAAAGTTAGTTTAAATAAAGATAAAACGTGAGGGAAAACAGGTAATTAAGGAATGACTTTTACAATCTAATATGTAAGTGTAGACTGACTTCTACGGGGGTAAATTACACTAAGCAAATTTCCAGAGGATAGTACGATTTACGTGTAAAAACTACAGAAAATATGTATTTATGGAGAGTGACCAGGTTCACACAGTCCGTCTGTAGTCGTTTGAAAGTCTTTTTGTCAAATTAAAAAATTAAAGAAAAAAGAATTTCGATGCCTGGGTCTAGTTCGTGAAGAGATTGTGCCGACTTTATCTCCCTCTAACGCGATCTTGGCCTAAACTAACCATAAAACCTGTCTTGTGAAGTATCTGTACAAAAAATGGTAAAAAAATATATATATATACTCGGGGAGTCCGTATCCGGGACCCTGGGTTTCAAAGTCCTCTGAGGACCCTCGGGAATACCAACTTCCACAGAGTAACTTCAACACCTTCGGGACTTTTGATTAAACCGATGAAGATTTGAAATTAGGACTAGAAACGGACAGTCGTTAGCCGATTATAACTTAAATGAGTTATATCGAACAACAAGTGAAGGGATTTTATATCGAAAGTGTCACCTATGTAGCGGATGAAATGAAATACTTCTTTACCAATTATTGAGAATCCGGGTGCCTGGGCCAAGCCCGCTTTAGCGCAGGTAAACGTCCTTTGTTCAGTTCCTTGAATTATAAATTTTTGGTACTTAATAAAATATAGGTATATTACCCTTTTTGAGTAAATTGACTAGAAAAAGTAAAAAAAGGTTTTTTTTGTGTTTTACGATGTGGTCACTCGGAGGACTTAATCGGGGCTCGTTTTCTACGATTAGGATAATACGTGGCTTTTAGTGAGGATCGAGGGAAATTAAATGAATAGGATCCGACGTGTAGGTTAGTGTAGCAAATACTAGCATTTCTGTGTCTTAGATTGCCACGGGTGGAGTTGTGACTTTTATGTGGAGCGCTGCAAATAGTTGTTTTTGCATGTAGTTTTGTTACGCCGCGATTCCATCGGGTGTTTGCGATTGTACCACATGTAAGCAGAAACAGACCAGATTTGACCAGAAGTTACCGTAATTTTGTTATTGTTGCTCACTACAGTCAATTAGGTATCCAATTATAAGGGTTGACACCGACACAGGGAAAACTTTACAAGACTATTAGACTATTCGTTATTTTGACGTTAAGGCAAAAAATTTTTTCATCTCGTCCGGAAAGATCCGAGACATCGAGGTAACTTACGCGCTTCTGCGGTAGAAAAAAAAAA